CCAATTGGCAAGAAAATAAAAGTCTTACAATCTTTGCAAGGCGGTGATTCTTTCAAATGGTTTATGAACATTTTGCTGAGTGCTGAAAATTAAAAAGATACATATTAAGCAGTAAGCAGTAATTATGCTTCGACAAGTAACAGTGCTAAATGAGTGCACTGGAACCGTGCAACACACTTAATTAATGCTACTGAACAAAAGATTCTTGTAATAGCATAAGAGTGAGACATAGGTGTAGAGCAGTGTATTTTGTAGTTGTTACCTACCATTAATTCCACCTAAAGAGGATATGAGCAGTTTACCGTACACTAAACAACTAAAAAGTGAACTGATCAACATGACTCGTGTCGCTCGTGTCATTTTGATCAGTTCCCCTTTCACATTTCATTACCGAGCTTAAAATGGACCATCTTTGTTCTCTTATCACTAAACAACTAGTGTGGAATCCATTATAACTCAAATCCAATAATCCAAAAGAAATGTTAAAATATTAACAGTTTTAAAACTGATACATAATATTTTAACAGTTGATACTTTTCATTTGTTACTACATACTGAGGTTACTTCAAGTTTTACATGTATCATAAATATAAAATGACTTACGCGTGAAGATCTTCAAGTAAAGGTGAGAACTCTGAGCTGGTGAAACTTGACAACGAAGTAATAGCATTATTTTCTAAATGCCTGAAAAAAGCAACAGATTGCCAGCATAAAAAATACAAATGTCATTACCTTGTAAGATGTAAATGACATAAGGTACTCTACACTACTGGATAAATTATAAATTATACATACAAATATGTAAGTAGAAACAATAGCACGATGGTATTGTGATAGAGTGACAACAGTTACTGGATTGCTGTATTTTATATGTCTACACGTTGCTTTACTTGTCAATTGCATGGTCAGGAGTATAATCTAAAAACGCAAAAATGTTTTAATTTCAATTAAATGCGACTTCCTGAAAATCGCAAAATTAATATCCGGCAAAAAAAACAAAAACAAAAAAAAAAACAGACCTTTACAATCGCAAAAGATTAGTTCCCGTAAAATACAAAAAATCTTTGATTCGCAAAAATAAACTCCCGCAAAAATTTGTTGCCACACGGTATATCAAAGAAGAGATATTAAGGTCTGCATTGTGTCATTTTCACCAGATCCTTTCAGTGTCTGAATGTCACTTATCTATTCAGTGGGCAAAGCCACATCCAATAGCCCAGGGCTAATGGATTTTGCAATCAGGCCAGTTGATTCCTTCACTCACTTGCCAGAGAGGCAAGCGAAGATTGTTGAGAAAGTATCGAAGAAACTCAAATACATGGATAGACTTTCTGACTAGTAAAACATACAGTAGTTAGGGCAAGCACTCACAGGTATAAAAGAGATGGCAATGGTGAAGATGACTGTGATAAAGCTGGATGAGGGAAATTTGTCAACAGATTGTCATTCAACCATCTGAAAAAAAAACAAAAACATTAAGAGGATACAATTGCAATTTAAAAACTTGTAGATGACACAAACACATGTACATGTAGAATCAAGATTGCCAGTTCAAAATATTTTAGGTGACTCATACAAACAGAATTGTATCACTGTTGCTCCCCTCTCTATGAATCGTCTCTATATCTACAATGGCCAGTTAATTTTGCTTGTGGGTGGAAAGAACATTCTACACCATCAAACTGTTAGTAGTGAAACCACCATGGCTGTATTCTTCACGATGTTAATAAAACGGCAGGAATGTATTTTTTCCCTGCTGGTATACTTACAGATCTTTCAACGCAGGCAGGTTTTTGAAGGCATTGTGCATCACATATGTTGTCTGGTAGGGACTTTGTTGTTGCATTAAAATTCTAAAAGGAAACATAGCAGAATTACTCCTGAACAACCCTACCCAGTGCTTGACTTTTTTTTCAGGTCCACCTAACCCATAGGACAAGCAGCTCTCAAATTTTGCTTGACTTGGGCGAGTATTAGTTTACCTTTGTTCTGATTTAGCTGACAGTCAACTTGCCTACCCCCTCAGTGAGAGCAAGTGAGAATAAAACGTTACTTGCCCAGCAGGAAAATCTTCTTGTCCTAGACAACTGGATGGCACCTTTTTTGAGCACTGCTACCATGAACTAACCACTGCACAGACAGTGATAACAAAATGACAAATTAAATCATCTGAGATGACTGATTTCACGTGTGACGGTTTTCTTTTCTTTCAATAGAGTACCATTAGACTCTCATAAACCAATAATTGGAGAATAGTCGACAACTCATACTGTGGAAATAAACAACTGTAACAAAGATCAAAGCAAGGAAGATATTAACATTAAAACTCCATCAGTCATGTTTTAATTCTACTTACAACACTTTCAGCTTTGGAAGATTTTGAAATGGACTACTGAACGATTCAGCTGTAATGATTTGCAAATGGTTCCCTCGGAGATCCCTACAGAAATCAAGTTATATAACCTAAAATTACAGACAAACTACTGCTGTCAAATACTGTAGGTGCAAACAATCCAAGTAACTATGTAATGTAATTTAAAAAATTCAGGACAACAAGGTTGTGATGCTGCACAATTTGACTGAGAGTATCAATTTTGACTGTATGGGGAAGGGGAGTGCATGCTTTGATTTAGTTTCAGATCCATTTCCGATTGGCTTGGGTTCATACGACTAAAGAAGGAAGTTGGTAACAGTTTCCAAAACTTTCAAGCACTTTTACTTTGATGGATGAATAGCACCACTTTTAATCAGTTGATGCTATAGTGACGGAATCAAACATGCCCCCAATAATTGGTGAACAAGTTTGGTCATTTTATTAACCTGCAATCATACTATTTCTTGGAGTATTTCCCAACAACGGTTCTCTGGTCGCAAGTTATCATTTTCTGGGCATTATTAACAGCTTACCATAGCAAACAGTACAGTCTGTTAAAACACCCTTAAAATTGGCTTTAAGAACTAATACCTCAAAAGCATGCCTGGCGACACCCATTTTTATTTATTTACAAATTTTGATTGATAGCATGCCAAATTGTTGAAAAGTTCTACTACATGAGGAGTTCACAACCAATTGAACCCAGTCCAAAGAAACTTTCAAAAGTGTACTAAGAAGTGACTACAAAGAGATACACTTACAGATGTAACAGCTCTGGTATTTCATAAAACACATAAGCACCGATGGTTTTCAAATGATTCATGTGTAACTCACTGGATAAAGAAGAAGAAGAAGAAAAAGTATAAATTAAAATTGCCTATTTGTTAACGCTAAGTAAACAGGATTTCTCATCAGGATGATAGACAACATTCGCTGCAAAGTCATAAAGAAATTCTCCATTAATTTCCAACAAATTGCAAGTTCATCGTGAATTTTTAGTTTCTACTTCCAGTTTCCATACACCACTTTTGTTCTTAGACAGAACACTTCTGTTAACTCGTCATCTACTAAAAATAATGAACACATTTGATGCAATATGATCATAACCTGGTCCGGAAGAGAAATCCCTGTGCCAATTTTCATCTTAAGCAACATAATTGGCTTCATCAATATTATGGTTAAGGTATCAGTATACCCCAAATGACCATAATTCGTTCGCGCTGCTTTACGGTCGGACGTTTCACACAAACCCCACTAAAGTACGAGTACAGTACGAGGGTATATTCATTAAAATTAAAAAAAGTTAAGGTTTTCCGAGTATAGCGTCCCATTTCCCAAAGTACAGCGGTTCACCAATCAAGTTCGTTTCCGGTCGGATTTGGGCGGGACGACGTGATCAACGTCGCTGTCTTCTTGACATCTTTCTCTAAAAAGGCCTCCTCCAAAAAAGTTGTGTCAGGGAATTTTGATTACTTGTCTGGTTTGTTTTTGACACGCAGTTAAACTTTGAGTTTTGATAAAGCACACATTATTTTCACTAAATTCCCCGAAACGGGGTTTTTTCCTGATTATCGGCCAACGTCCTCTCCAAATTTCAGCGAAAAACGTTGAACACTCGTTGGAAACGAACTCAAACTGTGCGTTTCACTCACTGAAATTTTCATTTCGAGATACGAAGGAGAATATACTTTGGGGGGTTCTTCCCGTTTAATGAGATAATTACACAAAAAACGTGTGAAAATAATGACGCGTTGATCGACTAAGTTAAGGCCCATTTGACTTTAATAACAGAGTTCGTTGCCTCCAGCGGGAAATGCGGCAATTTGTCACGCAGCTTTTACTGGAAGCACTTCTCATGACAACCCGTTGACAGCTATCAATTAGAGAAAATTAATGCAAAAAACGTTTTTCGTTTGTAACTTTGGATAGAATCAATCGTTTTTCATAGAATTGTTTTTAAATAAAGATCGTAATAAGATCTATCTTAAAAAGCGAAAAGCAATTTATTTAAAAAATGGTCAATTTTGGGGTATACAGATACTTAAGACAGATTCCGCTCAAAGTTCGAGCAATAAATGCAAAAATTATTTACTAAAAATCTACTCATAGCAAGGTAACGTTTGGAGTAATGTCTCAAACAACTCACTTTTAATATTTCATTTCTCTAAGTAACCCCGCGATTAAATACTCCAGCATTCTCGAGATAGTTAATGTCAAACCTCTTAAGAATGCTTAAAGCGTGTGCTATTGTGTTTTTACCTACAGTGAAACGTCTGTTTTAAGTTAAATATGAATAACTTCAAATTAAATATTCTCTCGCGGGATCAGCTTGAGATCTCAAGTCGTGATAAGTTTTTCTTAACTGTATTCAAAACAATACCATGCCATGAGGTTTTTTTGGTAACTTAATTTTTGACATTATTGCTCAACTGTTCTGCGGAAATCATCTTAATGCAAGTACCACCATGTTAAACTGACTAAATTTGTACCATTACTTCATTAGTGACTAATCTTGAAAATTGATGACTCTAAATTCCAGATAAATGAGAGATTGCAGGTCAAAAAACAAGATCGATATGACGAATCCGCTACCTGGCAATACAGGCAACGGAAAATTTCTAAGCGTGATGGATGCGAATATTGATGACCCATTGGTCAGGAATTTGGTATTGACGCTTTGCCATTAATCATACCTGGAAACCATGGTAAGTAGCTAAGAAGTGGAACTGTACATTAAGTAACAGAAAAAGCATGAAAAGTAATTATACTGAATAAAAAAGAAATTGCCTTGCTGATATACTTACAGAACTTTAAGATGGATTAAGTTGGAGAATGCTCCAGTAGATATAGTTGAGATTTGGTTGTTGCTTACATTCCTAAAATATAAAATAAAATATAAATATATAAATTTCACTTATAAGAGGACAGTGCTTTAGTTAGGAATCTTTTTGCATGTATACCGACACTTTAAAATGCAGTTTGTACTGTTGTTGTTGACAATGATGATGAGGATGTTGTTGTTGATGATGATGATAATGATGATGACGACAGTGACATCAAAGATGATAAAGATGATGATAAAGCATTAATCAGCAATGCTATAGTTTACGAATATCACTGTTCACTCAGTTTCAGGAAATAAACCCTTGAGTCTACTCTGTAGTTGCTTTATACAGCTGCACCTGCACTTAGTATACCACTGAACAAGAAAAAAGAAAACTCACAAGTGAACAAGCTGCGAGTCATTTCCAAAGAAAGGTCTCATGTTAGGAACAGTGAGGCTGTAAATCTCATTCTGATCCGCAGACCTGCCAACCACAAGCAAGAAAACTTTTTATCAGTTATCATTACTTGTTATCTTGTTGGATTGTTTCTTTCAAACAACAGCTAGAAATGGTCAAGTTCCACCAAAGACTTTTTTTTATATCACTACTTTTTTCTAATTGTGGTCTCAGGCTCTTTTAATAGTTTCACTCTTCAAAGCCAACTGCTTCTTACAGGAGTTTAAAAGTGTAAGGACTCTAGAGATGGTCTGTGGGTTATTAGGTGGAGTTGAAGGTGATGTACCTACGTCATCCCTAGATGCTGTAGAGATAACATAGGTACATGTATTTAACCCATATGAATTATTGGCACAACATTTACCCATGGCAAGCTAAAAGCTTAATTGTCATTTACGTCAACTCAAAATCATCTTTTAGAACTAGCTGTATTTAATATCTTACTTTCAATTGGCTAGTACCAGCAATTAATACATGTATATCCTTAATCAGTGACGAAAAAATACATTTCTGTTGCAATGACTGATACAAAACATTAAGAGCTACTTAACACTAACTAGAGAAATTGCTAACTTATGGCCGAATCAGTATTAAAAGAAGTATTACATACTGTACTCACAGATATCGTAGTGACTGGCAATTTTTGAAAGATCCTCCAGGAAACTTCTTTAATTTGTTCCTGCTAAGGGCTCTGTAACAAAGTAACACAACAACAAAGTACAAAACAACGGACCTTTTTACCGATGTCAGGCTTTTCCAATTTTTCCTTTCAAACAAAAAATATACCGCACCACTCAATTTATCGAAGTATTTGGTTAGAATCCATTGCAAAATCAAAAATATATGGGAATGGGAACCCTAACTTGCCATTTTTTACAAAGAGATGTATGCCAGTGGAACAATGAATACCCTGTGGAATACTTTTGCATGTTAGTTTGGGGTCCCATATTTTTATGAGTTTGCAATGGATTCTTTTAAAACTTTGTAGATTTTCTAAATTCCGCGTGATAAATAATTCAAACTACGATGGTTGTTTTTTGTTTCTTTGAAAAATGCGAAAAATTGTTGCTATTTCGTGAAGTTGTTAAAAGGTCCATTTATGTGACATTTTGAGTACACGCTAAGCATCTTCAACACAGATCTTCAGGTTTCAAAAATCAGATTTGTACTAAATGCTGGCCCAAATTTTACTATTTTCAGCTTGAGTGCCACGCATATACACTCCAGGACATGCCCAGTATGGGGTAAAACTGTATGTTCTGTTGATCAAGTTAATTAAACATAGTTGTTTAAAAGTGCTCCAAAGTGCAAATATGGGGCACATTTTCAAAGTTGACTTAACCCATGG